CAAAACAGTTTACGTCGGGAGTAGAACCTGGGTCTTAGACAAATGCTTGAACCACCTAAGTGGTAACATCTGAGGCCTGCATCAGTTCACTCCCACATCACGCTACACACCCTGATATATCTGAAACACTGCTCAGGACGGCGTTAAACCAAACTCTCCCACACCGATTATGTATTTCAAATGAACGTTACGTAACTGTGAAATAACAACTCGCATTATCCTCCACCCTCTTCCTCTGATCTTCCCATGGTCGTCTCCAACACTTCCTCTACCTACCTCCTCGAGTTTACTCTGCAGCTGCACTGCCGCACGTCTACGTGTGAGTGAGTGAGTGTTGTTCAACGTCAGCCAGCAATACCCCAACTAGTGGTTAACAGCATGAACACTCGTCTACGTCATCGTGGCGCAGAATGTTGTGACGTATCACTGGATCAGTCTTTTACGACAAACAGCGTCTTATCCATGACCAAGTGTCGTAAACCAGTGACGGAACCAAAAATATGTCCTACTTAGACAGACAAAAGATTATAGACGCAGATTAATTAATGTATTACATTCATTAAATATATTGGCATGCCGATTGATATCGCCCTCTAATCTGCACGGCCACCAAGATCGTTTTATGCGTTAATGTACGTTATCGTACGTGAAATTGCGAGATTTGTTCACTGTCAGTTGAATGCAGCATGTTGGCATCGATCTGCTTAAACTATCGACCACAGATTTGTCTGGTCTAGAGTCGCTTTCACTTACACAAAGAGAGTTAGCGAATATAGTTTAAATATTGATGATCAAGACGTAAGAAAAAGGTAACTCTAAGTAATTGCCTGTAATTATCGCTTTCAACTCGTTCTATCTCTTAACACTTCACCATGTCTAACGCCGTCTGTCCCTACCCCCATCACCGACACCCAACCCCTAACAGTCTTTATAGGGGCTATATATAGCTACATGACGACAGCGTTGAGCAATCGCCATTTGAAGTACTAGCTTAATCAATTGACGTATCTTTTCTTGGATACGCCTGCGCGCTTACAATATCTAGGGAGATATACAATATGCACAGTTCGGTCTCGAGAGTTGCTATGCAAATGATAATTGATTTGCAGCCATGTTTACATGTAAAAAGGGCCAAGGGATTGCTTTCGGGATCAAAATGTCAACTGAAAAATGGCAACGCCGCATACGAATGTTTTGGTGATAAAACAACCCTGGAAAAAAGTCCACTTTCCAAATGGCATTGTTTATTCACAACTCGGAATAATGTCCGCTCTTTACTGTTCTCAATGGTCTGATTGGCATTTTCAACCTTTCACAACAGATAGGGTTGGGTATATACAAAGACCTTGTTCTGAAATTTTTGTATTCCCCAGTAAGCGGGCTGCTTTATACGATTTTGACAAAACAGCAATTTTCGTAAAGAACATATACTCGTCACAGATTGAATTCTTCCTCGATATAAAGGGAGTAATACGGTTTCTGTGTACGTTCATTGATTTTTGAGAGCTTCATCTATAAACCATGATATTTTTAGTATCAAACTATCTTCTTATTTGTCTAAGTAGGCGCCGCGACATTATTTAAGTGAATTGGGAGTCGTGGTTATTTCTTTCCACAATAAAATCTCAGTTCTGAATATTGAACCGAACTCAGTGACAAACGTAACATTCGAGCAATATGAGTGATTGATGGTAGTGCTTAAACATACTAAGTATCCTTATAAATCGAATTCCTTGAAACCGCGGATTGCGTTCGAGTTATCCGAAGTAAGAGTGTCAATATTAAACAATTGGGATTAGTGAGAGAATGTGTTTTCGCCGCTTTTAGAAATAGTCCAGCAACATGATGGCGGGAGACACATGGAATTAACTTCCCGTGTTGTAATCGAACCCGGTCCGTCGACGTGATAACCGAACCCTTTAACCACTACACTACCCAATCGCCTCCATAGTGATAAAGATTCTTCCTAAATCATGACAAGATTAATTATATTAGTTAGCAAACGCTACAGCCGGTAGTGGCATGAACATTGATAAATCCGTTAAAAAATTCAATGTGCTTCTACAGTCTTTAACTCGAAGAAATTCTAAGCAATTAGTTTCAAAAGTATCTACGCTAAAAAGGAAGCGATTCTGTACAATTGAAACAACAACAAAAAATTAACTTTCGTGTACAAAACAGTTTGGTTGTCTGGAAACCGCCACAGTTGCCACACATGCAGAAGAGCGGTGTCACTGTGACACCGTGCCACGAACTGATCCCCCTCGATACAGCCATACTTCCACTGACGACCCGCAGCAATGTACACTGCGACTGTCATGTACATTGCGTGAGAGGCTGTAATCAACATCTCCGCGTGTCGCTTTATCAATAGCTTATGCCATCAGTCAAATTGTCCATATCACTTCTTCATTTCACAGCTGTGAAACGGAAACCGCTTTGTCTCATTCCGCGCGGCTCAGTTACATGTTTGAGATTCGGGTACCAGGATGAAGGACGTCTATCAAATGTCTTGTTTTGTACAGATGACGCTAGTGAAGATTCACTTGTCGTGTGTGTGTTTGTGTGTGTGTGGTGTATATTCCCTGGCCGTAAAACCACGTGGCAACTGATATCTTTTTTTACGAATACATTTGTTTCCACCATTGACATGCTCTCATTTGTGTAGACTGTTACAGGTTACAGCAGTAAAGGGTTGTTTTTTTGTTTATGGCGAGATGTGTCAGTGTGGAGGAACAGTTGGGTATTGATTTTTAGTTTTAGTGAAATGCAAATAACACTCCACAGACGTTCATGCGGTGTTGCAATGAAAGAACACTACATTTCACAAACAGGTTGGACTGTGGTTGTTACTTGTCATGATTAAATATATTGTACTTTGGTTTAATTCACTACACGGGGGTATACGTAATCATTATCAAGGACACCTCGTTAATACGGAAACAGTAAGCCTGTTTCCGTATTAACGAGGTGTCCTTTGACGGTAACTTTTCAACGTCTGTAAAAAATTATGTACATTTCTTCAAACCTTTGTCTCGTTTATCTGTAAATTCATTATCCCGAACGATTGCACTGGGTAATGAAGTTTCGATGCATATATAGTTACGGCGTGTTTTCGAGTTTCTCATTAATTGTGTGAGGGCCGGTCGGGTAGCTTAGTGGTTAAAGCGTTCGCTCGTCACGCCGAAGACCCGGGTTCGATTCCTGACATGGGTACAATGTGTGAAGCCCATTTCTGTGTCCACCGCCGTGATATTGCTGGAAAATTCACACTCACTCACTCATTAATTGTGTACAAGGACACCCTGGTTAAATGGAACACACCCGGGATGAACAGACACAATTATATATTAAGAAAGAAAGAATTTATGGATGTCAACTTCTTTATTATGAGGAACACAACGTTTCGGAGTATATCCTTACTCCTTCATCATTCACCTGATGAAGAAGTAAGGATATACTCCGAAACGTTGTGTTCTTCATAATATAGAAGTTGACATCCATACATTCTCTCTCTCGTGTGTGTATCACTTCTAAATTCCAGTCAAAGACAAGATTATGTATTGTACAAAGGTGAACTCGATCACGCACAGACACAGCCAGGTATAAAAATGGGTTTTTTTTGTCTTGCCATTAATCCCAATGAATTACATGTACATTTAGTATTTCTCTCACCATCTTTCTACCGCTTACTGATTGATAACCGAGTCGAACTAATGTCAGCTAGAATTTCATTGTCATTAATGTTATATGTCGTGATTAAGATTATCTTGAAATGATCTGTAAATTTCTATCTTAAGCAGTTCCAATAAAATAAATAGATTATTGCATTATATATATATATATATATGAAAATCACATTCGTGAAACCGGTTGAGTAAATTATATAGCTCTTTTATATATATATATATATATATATATATATATATATATATATATATATATATATTTAAATTTTTAAAATGCAATATAAAATGCAATAAAAAGTAAATAATAAGACACCAAACTCTTTTTTGAATGGAGCCGGATATTACATTCTAATGCCATTCAAATCTCAGATAGATAGAAGTGCCGGATGTACAATGTATATAGTAAATCAAACACCTTTTATAAGGGTTCCGCGAATTACATTGAGACGCAATTCAAACGCCAAAAATATAGATCCTATGTCATACCAAGAGGCATCAGCATTCATATGTAAATAAAGAAATCATTGATTTTTCCACAAATTCCCTTATCACCCAAAGAACCAGTTCGCGTGCCAGGTACGTTTACATTATCGGCGTTACCGAAGGACGAATCTACCCACATCTATCTCCCAGAGCGAATTACTGGTTGTCGTGTTATTTCTAATCTACCCTGCTTCACCTGGTTTAAAGATAAAAGTGACACAGCTGGGACTAGGGTCGTCACGAGATGAACTCAATCGATCCCCAAGCACTGGACGTGATTGGGTTATCGATCTCATTTGTCACCTGCGTGGCTCCTGTAACGCCGAGTATTAACAGGTGTATGCGGCCCGGCATTGAACTACCTCCCTTCACGGTGCTCGAACAGCAATGCAAGACTGACCCGGGTAATTTTCACATTTTAAAATTTAATAAGATTTTAATTGAGCTGAAACTATGCGTTTTAGTATTTATAAGACGACCGATAACGACTGGGTGTTGGACGGAGGCGTGATTTAATTCAATTTTAAAGGTTAGGTGAAAACGGCTTTAATTTTAAATTGATGAGATCAAATTGATTTTTAGATTTTGGGGGAAGATTGGTGTTTAAAATGAAGGATAATTTGTAAAACTGTTAAATTAGAACTCTTCATTTGCGTTTGTAATTCGACTAAAAGAATAATTTGAGACATAAAGCTTATTTAATTAAATGTTTCAAATTAGTTTAGAAGAATTTCGAAGATGGAATTTAGAACACAGTTAAGTAATATGGCACATTTATGGCTAAATACACACACAGCTCTCACACCTGAGATAATGCAATATTCTCACCTCTAGTTTTTCCTGCTCGCGTTGTTTGTATTGCTCTGCCAACTGCATCTTAAACAACAGCAGCTCGTGTTTGTTGATGTCTTTGGGCAAGGTGCTGCTGCTGCTGCTGTCGGTGACGTCCTCATCCTCCACCTGGACGGCTTTGTAGCTGCTGAACTGCCCGTCACGCTCCGTGGGGTAGTCCGGGGGGGACGTCCGGGGCAGGTCCTCCAGTGTTACGTCAGAATCCGACTTCTTCTGTCGATCCCGGCGTCGTATCCTCAGCAGAACGGTTAAAACAATGGCGGCGATTATGACGGTGAGGCACAGCAGCGTGATGACAATAAGAGCGTTCTGGCCGGGGGACACCCCTGACATCAGCGCCGTGCTGTTTCCGACAAAGACGGTGATTTCTAAAATCCTCTCCCCTGAGGATCGAGGCGGGGTGCCTTCGTCCATCGCGGAGACAAACACAACATATGTTCCCACGTTTTCTTCACGTAAGTGTTTGTTTACGAAGATAATCCCTGACGAGCCGTCAATAGAAAACAGAAAGGATTTTTGGGGCGAGTCCTGTCTCATAGAAAACTGGAGATGAGCGTTTAAGCCCGAATCCCTGTCCTCCCCTTTCACAGCCGTTATCTGGGTACCCGGTGGGTTTTGGAAGGGTATTTTAGATGTCATATTGACTTCGTTAGGGAAAGTGATGATTGGCGTATTATCGTTAACGTCAATGATTTCAACAATCACTCTGACCCTGTTTGCTAAAGATGGATACCCATGGTCACTTGCTTCCACATCGAAACTATACTCGTCTCTCTGTTCCCGGTCGAACACGTCATTAGACAGCAAGATCCCCGTGCTGGTCAAGATAAAGGGCACATACTGACCAGTGTCCACTATAGAATACGTCACAAACCCACCCCCGTCCAAGTCGGTATCGTACGCACGCACCCGTCCCACATGTGTATCAATAGGCTCATTTTCAGGAATTTTAAACAAATACACGGCTTCTCGGAATTTGGGTTCATTGTCGTTTTCGTCCAGAATAAAAATAGTCAAAGAAGTGTTAGATGACATAGGGGGGTCCCCATGATCAAAAGCAATAACGGTAATGTTCAACCTGTCAAACACTTCCCTGTCAAGCTTGTCCACCGCCGTGACCACCCCGCTCACTGGGTTGATGTTGATGAAGTTGGTAATACGTGGGTAAGTGGACGTGATGACGTAGGTGATCCTGCTGTTCTCGCCAGCATCCCTGTCCGCGGCTTTCAGCTGTGTGATGAATTTACCAATGGCGTTGTTTTCAGTAATGTTGGCCACGTAGCGTCGTTGCTTGAATATTGGTGGGTAGTCATTGGTGTCGATCAGATTGACGGTAAAGCTAGACGTTGCTCTCAACGTCGGGCGGCCGCCGTCCTGACACGCGATGGTCAAGTTATATTGGGGTGATGCCTCTCTGTCCAGCACTCCGGACACGACCACCTTGTATTCATTGATCTTCAGACTCTGTAGCTGGAACCGGTCACTCATAACAGAACAATTCACCTGACCATTCGTCCCCGAATCTTCATCTGAAACCACCATATGCGCCACCGCAAACCCAACGGAAGAATGTTCCATAACCTCGGCGGAGGTTACTCCGTTTAAAATATTCAGCTGAATATATGGGGGATTGTTCACAGTGTCAAGAACCTTAATAAACACAATGGACGGGGTCACAAAAGGATCTGACCCACCATCGTACGCCTGTACCACCAAACGTACGGTCTTACCTTGCTGAGAGGATAAGGGTTTTCTGGGAGTTATCTCCCCTGTGAATCGATTGATTTTGAAAAGTTCTCTGTTAATAGCCGACTGCTGTGGACTTAACATGTAAAACACTCTGCCATTATCACCACTGTCTAAGTCCGTTGCATGCACTGTTAAGATGATAGAAGTATTCGGTAAAGCCTCGCTTATATTCGTATGATAATCATCCTGTGAAAATATTGGTGGATTGTCATTCTCGTCAGTTACACTGATATTAACTAAAAGTTCACCCACATTAGGTGGTCTACCGCCATCTCTTGCCTCGATCCTCAGCTGGTAAAAGTCCTTGGTTTCTCTGTCCAGGGGAGAATTGACTATTACTCGAAGGACGTCTCTTCCAGCTACGTTTTTTGTCACTCTTAAAGCAAATGTCCCATTACTTGGGAAAATGTCATACGACTGAACCGAGTGATTCTCGCCGCCGTCCGAGTCCTCGGCAGGCTCTATAGTATAGGATGATCCGACGGAAACCGACTCGGATATTTCCAACTGGATCGCCGGATGTGGAAACTCCGGAGTTTCATCGTTGATATCCTCAAGGAGTATATTAACCAAAATTGTTCGGAAGAACGGCCCCGATTGCAACGCTATGTATATGCTGAATTTACAAATCCGTTTGAATTCACAAATTGTAATATTTTCCCGGTCCAGAACAGATGCTGTCGTTAATACACCCGATCGGTTACCGATCAGAAAATAAAAATTGGGTGTCTCTCCTGGCCGTAGAATCCGATAACGAACAGAAGCAAGGTCCTCTCCAGCGATGGCTGATGAAACGTTGGAGTCCCTTGCAACGTTGCCGACGAAGGTGCCCGGGGCTTGTTCTTCCTCCACGGTGTAGTTGAGAACATCTCCCTGGGCCCCACCCCCGGGGATGACGGCCACACAGACAAGGATAAACAACCCGCGAACACACAACATCGTGGTGATATAGACTAAGAAACTACACACAGGGAAGATGCGCTGAGTTCCATTGACAGTCAACTCTACGGTGAAGACCCGTGTGAATGCACCAACTTACGGAGAATTGAAGACATGTTAAAACAAAAAAGTCCTGATCGATACAGGAGTATCACTGGGGAGTACCGCCATATCCCACGACATGTCCTATATGCCAGCTCCGCTGTTGTCACAAAGTCAATGTCTTGTCGTATTGAAAATCCACGAATAAAATTATTTGCTTTGCTTTGTGACGAGTTCAATACAGCGAGAGTCGGCCCAGCTGTACTGAATGCGCGTATTTCCATTCAATATATACCCGTATCAATTGTTGACTTTTTTCACTTCTGTGAATGCCAGATCCTCGTCGTTCACAGACCAAGTCCTTTCATCAAAGGCAATATTACATCAATGTATGTATTATACGTTACACATAAAACTCGCATACACATGTAGGCAATTGAAGCGTCGCACGTTAACTACACACAGATCCGCTCTCGGGTCAGGAAGCACATTCATATAGTCGACACGCACAAATCGTTCTGTATGCTCTGAAAGTCTTCACTGGCTCGGGAAAAGACGCCTTGTCTTGTCATGTGAGAATATCCCGCTGGTAGAAACAGTCGGATGAGAAAAACATAACTGTCAAACTTTCACTGACACCCAATTTTCACAAGTGTTTAGAAAACTGCTTCGTGCAGGGTCTTCTTGCATAAATGGACCATTCCGTGCTTGAACCACTTGTTCCCTAAAAGCGAAGAAATTCCAACTCCCAAGTGATATGTTTAACAGTCTAACGTAACATGCATTGGCCTCCTCCGCGAGACGTGCTCAAGCCACGCGATACATGGCGGTGTCACAGACCCCCGAGCTAACTCCCGCCTCCTCGGCTTATTGCGTTGATTCAGTCTCCGCACAGGGTAGAGGTCGATACGGAGACGTGGTGCGGAGCTTCCACAATCTCCACGCACTGTAGCGAGAAGACAATCGACACTGAAATCGCTTGACGACTCGTGTCAGAGACTGGTAGCAGGCTTCGCGGCTGTTATTTAATCCGTCTTCATTTCAAAACAGATTTAGATACTTGTCGGAATTTATTCTTACCTTCATAGAATCATGCTTGTTTTCTTGTCATGTTAAAGTCACTTGACAATCGACTCTCGACTCTCGAAACACTACAAAGATGTTCCGCAAATTGCTTATACAAATTGCAAGGTTATTTTCTTTCAAGAATTCGGAAAGAGCAATACATGTCGATGAATGTATAATGTTCCTCCAACACGTGAGTTATGATTTAAAGGTATCCCTTTCCACTGAGGTGAGTATTTCAAAAGAAAAATCGGATCCAATCTTTTAAAGGTGCAGATAGCGTGTTGCTTTTCCCGGTCAGAACGCTTCTCTCGTGCAGAGACGACAGTGGTGCGAGTCTCGCGTCCAGGGCTGCAGTCGGTCTCCTCGTCTTGTTAATCAAACACTCCCAGCTTCTGTTCTGCTTCAAACAAACTTTCAGTCTCGTGTTAGCCTGTCTTCACCTCGCCTGCAAAAGATCAAAGTTTGTGTTAGTGTTTGCAGAAATGATTAACTCTGCTTAATGAGGGGCGCTCCACCCATTAACTTAATGATGTTTGTATTTCTCCAAATCCCAATGCATAAATATTAGATGTTCAATACTCTTGGTACAGAAGTCTGGAGTTGAGCACTTTTTCAACATCTTCCATCTCATCGAACTCAAAGTACACACACTTACCTTCAAGTCAAGGTACTCAGGTGAGTTAATTGGAGGATTATCTCTGCAGCCTGAGTTATATTTATGTAATCCTGTAATCCCCTGCCAACCCCGCCCCTCTGTCCGCAGTCGGCCAATGGTCAGTCTGGTAACTCCATTAGAGGTCCAGCGTCAGAACGGCTGTTTACAATAGCTACGCGGGGATGTATTAATTGACGGTGGGACGGGATTAGGTTGAGGGGGTAGGGAAATCCCCAAGGAATGTATCCCGTGGGTCGGGGACAGATCACGCACCGGGATGCTGCGTAAATACGGGATAATCCGGGCTGTGTCACCGATCCGAGTTAAAAGTATATCAGAATATCAGCTACCGGTACAATACGTACCTGTAATTAACGCCTTTGATGTTACCCGTGGAAATTATCACCTATTGTTGAAGAATATGGACAGGGGGTTCCCTGCTGGAAGTTGACGAGTTTGGTGCCAGTCCGGCAGAGTTTGGTAGTTCAGTTGAGTAAATAGTACTTGGTGTTAAGCGGTTCTAACGGTTTATTTTAAGAAAAGAACGTAATGAGGACAGGTTCCAAACAATTTACAAGAATTAGGAACATGTACATGTATATATGCATTATAGTATATATATATGTGTGTGTGTGTGTGTGTGTGTGTGTGTGTGTGTGTGTGTGTGTGTGTATATATATATATATATATATATATATATATATATATATGCATGTTTATAATAAGATATAGACTCCGACATATATTGTTGTTATTTGTATTGCTACGTCGGTTCCAGCGTGGTATATACGACATTATTGAGTCAGTGAGTGAGTTGGGTTTAACACCGCTGTTAACAGTATTCCTGTTATATCACGGCGTGTCAGCTTATTGTGAGAGGAAAGCCCGAAGTGATGCAGGTCTCAGACGTACGACATTATTGATGTGAGTGAGTTGGGTTTAACGCCACTTTGAACAGCATTCCCGTTGTGTCACGGCGTGTCTGTTTGATTTTGGGAGGGAAGTCCGAATTGATGCAGGTCTTTACCACTTTATTGAAAGCCACGAGACCAATATTGATGTATTTCGTAAGAACGAACGATAGGTTCAAATGATCATGTGTGTTTGCCCCATGTTTGTCTCATACCGGCCATCCTACTATTACTAATGATAATAATCCTGATGATGATGATGATGATGATAGTGGTCGTAATGATTACGAGGATGAAGAAGAACAACCACACTGTCACTTTGACGTGCACCGCCGTCATATCGCTGGAATATTGCTGAGTGCGGCGTTAAACAACAAACAAACACACGTTGACGTGCAATGCACTTGAAGTTCAAATCTCAAACCAATTTTTAGTAGTCTTAAAGCTAACATTAAGATGGCTACTATGTTAAACATTTAGACGTAAACAACACAAAAACACTATTTTCAAGAAAGACGAACATATTTTCTAGCAATGCTATTTCTTCAGGTGAGGATTTTCCTATGTAATGTAATATTCGAGTTGCGCATGCCCAAAGAACCCTCTGAACACAGGAGTGTCTATGAAAGTTTTGCTCTGAGTTTATCACTGCTCAACTTGGGAAGTAATCAGAATAGGAATAGATCGAACAACCTCTGATAAACCAATCTCTAATCACGCACACCACATTACAAGCGGCAAACTGTTTATTAAGTGAGTGAGTGAATTGTTTCAAACGCCACATCAATATTCCAGCAAGGTCACGATGACCTGACAATAATCGGGTCTGAACCAGTCAAACCAGTGATTGATAGCATGAGCAGCGACCAAAGCTGTCGGGGTAGGATGACACGAAATCAACCAAGACACAGATGCCGACCACCCGATCCTCTTGTATGAGCCCTTACACGAATTTATGCAACGTAGGTGGCGGAGAGTAGGTGGATGGGTGAGTGTCTTCGACAGCAAAGAGTTTCCAGGGCTATGGTCCTTCCCCACACTGAAACACTTTGTTTGAAGTATGCCGATGTTGACCCAGCAGCGAATGGGTACCCAGTAGGATGAGATGGTAATGTGACTTTCTAGTGCCACATAGGCAGCTTGAGTTGCTGAGGGAGCTGAGGAGGAAAACTCGTGTGGTCACTGATCAACTGGCGGGGATAATAATATAATGTGCGCCGTGGAGTACCTATCCAAATTGGAAGTCAGGCGCTTTATAAAAACACAATATTGTGGTTATAAGGGCTATTAAAAACACACCCAGCATTGTTTTAAAACTTTGGTGCGGGTGTACTGCTCATTTTGTAACAAAAATGCGATACCTTTATAATCAATTCATGTTTCCAAAATCAATTTAAAATGTTGTTATGCGGGTAAGTGATACTCAAACACATGCTAACCACAAATATGACACGTGACATTCGAACGCTTGGAAGATTAATGACAAATTATTAGCTTTTCCAATCTTTACAATATCTAGACGTTTATCTAACATTCATATCAACTTAAAATATATTTTGTTATTTTTAATACGTCCTTTCTTTGTCGACAACCTTTATCAGGTTTTTTAAATGCCAGATCGCAGATCGTATGTTGTTGATGATGTTTTGCAGCATCCTATGATTTACGAGTGATCAGCTTGTACGCTGGTAGGTGTATCATATTCTTGCATGTATAGTTCAACATGTTCTATTTCAACATTCAAGACGAATGCACTTTTGAAGCAACAATGTCACAGGAGATTAATCTTGGACACTCTATACCATGTCGAGTTTCCCCGAAATAAGGCTATGGACCACCTGCTGTCATCACAGATTACCTGTGTTTCTCTATTTTCTACTTTTTCCGCCCGATGAAGTCTGTACGGAGACACTCGAGACTGATCGCTGTCAGGGGTTGACGTTTTATATTCAATGTGTTTTATATTTAAGTATCAAATTTGTGTTATGCATGGTTCAATTTACTGAAAAAACTTGTAGGGAAATAAATACGGAACCCTTACATCGATCTGACCATATGCTTTCAATAAAAACACACATGAACATTCAAGAACCAATACGTTCCGTTTGATCTCGCCGCTTGCACGTGAAACACGCATTAAATATTCAAATACGTGATTTCAAATCTCTAGAGTTAGACACAGGCATTACAAATTGTCCATCTTAGCGGTCAAGCATGTCGTGTACCTCCCCAAGAGCTGTATCAGAAGGTTTCGTTTACACGTTGACTATGTCTACCGTTTGAACCTGGCTGCGGCGCCGCACGAGCGTCACCATGGGAACGGTGCTATGTGTATGAAAATAAGAATTCCCTATATCAAAGAATGGTCGCATGTTCGGCGTTTCGGATTCCTAAGAAACGAAAGCCTGAGGTTAGATTGAATCACTTTCGTTTTTTCGACACTGAAAGCAAATAATTTTATTGCAAATAGTTGGTATTATTTTTACGATAATGATCAATGATTTCTACAATCGATGATATCTTATATTCGCAATAACATCATTTTCTTTCAAAAGATGCTGCATGACAGCGTACGTTTCTATGAATATTTTATACCCCTTCTTGTGTATTTTACTGATTGAGGAAGAAAAATCAATAATGTTATACACAAACAGTACGACGTTAAGGTCATAAAAGGAATTCGCAAATATTCTTTACATCTTCGATGGGTTTTCATACAAAGGTGACCTTTGAATCAAGAGCCACTTGTGACTTATCCATTCAATGCTTGTAGAGAATGAAGCTTTGATATCAATGTTTAATGTGCTGAAGTGTTTACTATGATCACGTAAGTATTAAGTCGTGATCATGAGTGTTTTTCTTAAAGGACATCCTTTGGACCGAAACATAAAGGCGCTCTCTTATCAGCTGAAGTGTTAGAAATGTTTCCAATTAGCCGCCATGATGACGTGATTGTTTCTTTAGAAAGCGACAACAGTACAAGGACAGGCAACAGATGCTACACAGTGTTAACTCAAGTTAGAGAAGCGTCGAGTGGTAGATAAACAATGAATGAACCTCATCCAGGGACTGTCAAGGCCATTGACATATGCATTCAGTTCGTATGTGCCTAACTATGACTCGTTGGAGGCTTGTGTGTAATTTGAAATCATCTCTGTGTTCCACAAAAGGGGACCCAAGACCATCCAATGCACGGGCAAGTGAAACTTCGATAGAAGCGTAGTTTTGAGTAAAAGGAAGACTGTGGTATGCTTCTATATTACTGTAGGTGTGAAAAGAAGTGCGAATGAATATTAATGAGGTCGTACAGAACTGTCACTGTCGTTGGGCTACAAAATTTATCTTTGTAGGTGATTCGTACCGCTGAATTTAGCGTGTTGGTTGTGCCCCTTAATCACCAAGCTACATGCGATCCCAGATCATGCAGAAAACATTTAGGTTCATTCAATGTATTGTTAAGTCTTTAACTCGAACTCTTATATCGATATGCCATTGAACACGATGTATCTTTATGAGCGACGCAGGCGTGTTATCGGGATCTCGGTATGTTTTCGGTTGTCCCGAGTACTTCGAGATAACGAGAGTTCTCTGTATGTACAATTGTTCAGATAATAGGATTCGAGAAGATGAGTGAGTGAGTATAGTTTTGCGCCGCATTTAGCAATATTCCAGCAATATCACGGCGGGGGATACCAGAAATGGGCTTCACACATTGTACCTATGTCGGGAATCGAACCCGGGTCATCGACGTGACGACCGAACGCTTTAACCACTAGGCTACTCGACCGCCCCTTCGAGCAGATGACCACACACACTAGACGTAC